GTGCTTGCTGCCCCCCATTCTATATCCTCATTCTTTAGCCAAAGTAATTCTGTTTTATATCTTGCAGTTGTGGGTAAGATCTTATTGATGGTAGAAAAACAGTTTGGAAAAGGTGGACCTTTATCCCAGGGTGAAATCTCTACCCATAACCTCTCAGTTCTGCTCCCTTTACCTGTCTGTCCCCTGAATTTACCTGCCTCCTCCTGAGTTCTGTATTCTCATCACAGGGGTCCCTAGCAGTTGTGCTGGGCAGTGGGTATTCTTCATGCAGAGCACAGTGTCCTCATCCATAGCATGGCTTTGGCCATCCTCTAGTTCCCTTTGTTGGATTTGGTTTGCATGAATTGAGCACCGGTAATGCCCATGGTCTCCATGGAGCTACCAAGCCATGCCCTCATTCTGGCTTCCAGCCTCCACCAATACTAGGGTTTCTTTGAACGGGGACATTAGGTTATCTCTAAGTTGCACCATCTTTGCTTCCCCGGAAAGTTTGCTAGTAACAAGTCAACCCGGGAACATCATAGACTCTGAAGTCACCTGAATCTCACTGTTAACGTTAATTAATAGTGTCTCTAAACCACAGTCTCTTACAAGTTCACCCAGATTTAAATTCCAGCCTAGTACTGATGGATGCAAACCATACATGTTTATGATGCTGACTGGGGGTACATCCTCTCAAGTGAGCTGAACTCCCTGTAAGTGAAGCAAGGCTGTGGGGCCCCAGTTTCACAAGTGCCACGTAAGTCCTCCAGGACTCTTTGTGTTTGCTTTGAACAGAGAGTACCATTCTGTGGTCTCCCAAAGGCTTCCAGTAGATCTCATGAAATTTAATAAGCACTCGCACAGATAAGGTGACAGCTTAGAATATCTTTACTGAAAAATTCAAGCATTGACTCATATGGTGTGAGACTTTGCTCTGGTGGGGGCTTTTTACTGCAGGAGGGTTTTGATGATTCTCAGTTGTTTTTGCCTCATTTAAAAGGGAAGCGGGGTGGAACAGTTGAAACTTATTTGTATTTTATTGTTTCATCTTTTTGTGGGAACATTCAAAATACACAGAAGTGGGGCAAGTAGCATAGCAGTGTTACAGTATCACTGTCTGTCTGCCTGTTCTTGTTCCATCTCTGCCTTTTCCCCCTTTGGGGGGATAAAGTGGAGGCTGAGGTTTCCCCCCACCGAACATTTCTCAATAATTAATTCTTAAAAGGAAATTTTTCTTCTTAACTTTTCTAGAACAAATGTTACTCAACTTGACCTTCATTCTCTTCCAACCCCCAAGAAAAAAATTGCCTATCTCCTCCAAAAACAGGTGCTTAATATGTGCCAGGGTACCTTGCTTCGGACAGATTTCAGTCTTCCCCATCCAAGAGCCTGGCTGGTCCCCAGCTTGAGTAGGAGATAAGTGCAAGCTGCACCTGTCTTAGTAAAATCAGAACCATTGCAGCCATGAACCAAAGAAAACAAGGGGCCATAGAGAATGAGGCGTACCCCGCCAGGCCCAGAGAGATGGAAAGTGTGGCTGGGGGTATGTTGGCATATATGCTTAAGAGTGAAAGGTGTTTGCTCACACAGTAAATGGACTTCCACTTACTGGCTGTTGGAGGCCTGTGCCCTCAGCTCTACCTTCCAGGACCTTCGTACTACCACCATCACCTCCCAGTTTAAAGCAGGGCTCCTTGTAACATGGCCCAGGGAAGGGGTGGAGACTTGTGCTAGCAGGAGTGGGCCTACTCAGCTCTCAGGCTGTGGGAACAAAGGGGCAGAGGCCGCTCGGCAGGTGTGAAGATGTCTGACCGTGCAAAGGTGGCTTCAAGCCACCTGAGGTCAGATTCCATAGGCAGGGGGTGGGACCTGTGACCCCCTTCAATAATGTCCCTCAGCACAGAGTAACAGATTTCATACACTTCATTTTTCAGGGGGAGGTGAGGAAGGGGCATGGTCTCTTTGAGGACTACCTCTCATCCCATCTCTGAGTTTCTTCCTGAAAGCTACCTCTGCTGCTGTCAGATGCGAACTTTTCTGTCTCAGATGTTCTCACTTCTATGTGCACTGAAAACCAAACAAAAGATCAAGACAAAGTCAAACTAGCATGCTAGCACAGAATGGAGGCATACAGCAAAGGAGGAGGGCAAAATACAGGAGGGGAAGGATGAACACAAAGAGAATGTGGTGATGGGTTGGGGTGTTAAAGTGGCAGGAGAACTATGGGGACAACAGCAAAGTAAGAAAAAAATTAATTAAAAAATATTTTTAAAAAACAACACTGGGAACATCTTGAAAACTTTTCTGGATCTTCTGCCTGCTATGTCGACTTAGAGCTGCCTTTTGTCTAAATTCCTAGACTCTGTCTCCAAACATCTCCCCACTTTGCAACGTAGCAGTCCGGTCTCTGCTTACTTCGGTCTCTGTTTTCTGCTTCCCTTAGATGTTTGAGACTCATGAAGTCTTTTGGGATGATAATACCCAATCCTCTCCTCATCTTAGTCTGAATAATCCAGGAATTCAGCATCATTACAGCTATTTTGACACTGGAAGTCAGCATAGCCCAAGGATGTTTCACTGTGGTGTAGCCAGCTAGGAAGTGGGGTAGGTGGTCAGGCCTGGGAGACGGACAGCGAGACCTCCTGCGCCTCACATGGGTGCTAACATAGTCACCACTCTGCTTCCCCTCCAGGAGGGCCGCAAGAACGAGGTGCTGCTGTCCAAGGTGAAAGCCAAGGCCTCCTGAACATTCCCCTCCATCATCCTGCGTCACCGATTTTTTTTTTTAATGCCATATGTCAACTACAAGATCATGAAATGGTTGTGATCCTGAATAGAGAGAGGCAGGTGTAATGATTCCCAGCACCCTGGATATGTCCTTGCTCCTGTTTGCTTCCATTTCATCTCTGTGTTGGTTGTTGATGGAATAGACCATGTAAACATGCAGCCCGGATAACACCCATCATCCTGTGAAGAATTATGGGTGGGACTTGGTTTTTGTGTTGATCCGACTTTTATTTCTCTAGTAACATTGCCGATATGAAGGTTCCTGTGTTTGTATGGGTTCTCTGAATAAAGAGGAATTCCTTTGTTCAACAAGTATTAATTGAGCAATAAGCACTGAGGAAAACAGAAGTATGTCACTTAGCCCTACACTCAGCAAGTGACCAGGGAGCAGTATCGTCCACTGGGGCCCAGAACATGGCCACCTTGGGATTTTTCTTACCAGTCACCAGCCATGTCAGTGCTGGTGACTTGGGCCCTTCATCAGCCCATGGTACCTTTCCTTCCTGGCTCCCTGAAGTGCCAGCTGGTAGGCTTAATGATGTAGCAACTAGCGTGACATACCAGTGTTGTTAACCTAATCCTTATACACTACTCATGTTCATTTCATCAAGAATTGAAAACAAGGGCTTCATTTTGAGGATGTTTAAATAACGACACCTTCATGGCCACTTTCCCTCGAGTCACAGCCAGCCTGGGGCTGGCCTGTGCAGTCCCCTGCTTGCAAGCAGGTTCCATGTGGCCTGCTGTCCACTTTAAGCCTGGGAGGGGGCACACACGCCACTCACTGCAGCCTGGGCAGGAGAGAGGTGATCATTCCAAGAGTCCAGCTTCAGGCAGGTACCGCTGCATGTCAGAAGAGGAAGAGCAGTGAGGTGTGTGGAGGATGTGGGAGACTTCGTGGAGGGGTCTAAAAGAGGAAACCTATGTTAATAGACAGAGGTAGGTAAGAAGACCATTTTCAGTAGACACAACTATGATTGAAAACTCAAGAGGGAGCAGGGAAAATACAAGGCATGTTTGTTGGGAGAGAAGTAGATGGGCCAGACTCTGCAGGAGGCCTTAGAAACCAGTCCAGGAGATGGCTGAGGACCAGACTCTGAGGGCCTTGAAGGAAGAGCTGAGGGCATCATTTTGTCACCTGGAAATAGACAGTCCAAACCAAACCTGGGGCCCCTCCTGCCCTGGCCCTCAGAGCCTGGCGACTCAGACCCATCTCGCAGACCCCAGCACCAGGGTTGCACTTCATCCACATAAACCTGCACATTTGGATCACAGAACAAAAGCATAAACATGATGGGAAAACAGGGCACTCGGTGCAGCACACAGCTGACTGTGTTTTCAGGCCCCTAATGTACGTCACATGCATGGACTTAGACATAACAGTCCAGTGCTGGGTTAGCAACAGCCGTTGGCTTCTGAGCAGCTGTGAGCCCTGCTGGTGTGCTGGGAGGGGCCAGCATTTGAAGCTGTGCTTTCACTGGCCTGTGACTTTACTAAGGCTGGCCCCTGGGCTGTGCTCATTTTTGAGTTTGAAAAGGCGTCATAATGTTGAGCCAAATAATTGCCGAAGAGCAGGTGGCGCTTTGAGGGCAATGGAAAGGGAAGAGGGAGCAGTGTCACTGTAAATTATTGCAGGTTCAGGGAAACATCTCCATTACCGTGTTGAGAAGTTCTCAGACCCGCCTGCTCACCATCAGCTCTTTGAGCAGTAAGGAGATGATATATTTACCTGTTCAGAGGTGGTAGAGGAGTAGGTGACAAGTCAGGGTCACTGACATCGTGTTGGGTAAGACATGGCTAATCCAACACAGAAAGTCTCTCTAAAAGCGAGGGCATGTATTGGGGGCTGAAGATTTTCCTTAGGCTTGGTTTTGGTGTCAGGAGATACCAGTAGGTATCTTTTCCCTATTGTTAATCATCAATGCCTAATAGAGATAATAGTTTCCATTCCTTGAGCAAGCTTTGCATGAGACCTTGGGGCCAGTCTTAGCACTGTATGTTTGCCACAGATGCCCACAGTGGACAGTGCCTCTATCAGGAGATGCCCTGGGTCCCTAATCAAGTCCCCCAGGGGTTACCTCCAAGGACCCCATCCTGATGTGTGCCAAGAATATAGTTGTGTATACCACTAAGCCCACAGGCTTTTCTGGTTTTAAAAAGAGGGAAACGTCCTTTATGATTTTTATGCTTCAGGAAGAACAGACTTTCCCAGGAAGCAACAGTGTCCTCTGCTCAGGCAACACCATGAGGTTGCGAACTGCAGCCCTCCTGTGACTGACCGCCTGGCCCTGGAATTCCCAGCAGCCTCTGGGTCAGGGATCCCTACCTCCATGCTTCCCATGGAGTACATGGGGATGCTTTGGTTTGAGCCAAAATCGGCCACTGTGAGCAGCACACAGCTAGATGATCACAAAGTATCTGGGGAGAAACTTGGGGCCTACTTCTTGTCTTTGACCTGAGCTCAGTCTCACGTGTATGACGAGGGACTGTGACCAGCACTGGAGGGAGGTCCAAGTGTTAGAGAACAGCTGTCACAGTAACACAACAGGGATCTTTCCCTTTTGACAGGCCGTCTCCCAAGCTTGTCAGCCTCAACTCTTTTTAGGGGCTGAGCTTATGGCTTTAATCGGTTCATGTCCACAGCTTGTATTCTGTGGGAAGCCAGGTCCTGCCTGTATCCACTGAGCCTGGTCAGCAGAACCGTGAGGCACATGGCCAGTGTTAGTGGGGGGGCCTTTCCCAAGCTGAGGACATGCCCCCAACAGTGCCAGAGCCCTTAGGGCCTCCTGAAACAGGAACCGAGGGTGGGGAGGGTCTCAGCAGCCCTCTTCTTACCTACCTCACACAGTGCTATCTCTGGCCTCAGGCTGAACCAGGAGGTGCCTGTCAGGGCTGTCACGACCAGAGCTGACCTGTGGGGAAGGGCACTGCCACAGTAAGCGGTGACCGGTAAACCTTTTCCGCCTTGATATCTGCTGCCTCAGCATGACTTGTGCCCTCTCGACAGGTGACTGTTGTCTATAGGTGTCAGAGGGAAGTACTTTCAGCAATAAGTTTGCACAGTTAACTTAGGCTGAGCCTGAGATGGCCATAGTTGACTTGAAGGAGTCTTTAAAGAAGAGCTACAGTCCAGTAACCAGCCTGTAGGATGAGGTGCCCACCGCCTGTCCATGTGGCTGGGCAATACTCAGCTGGGGTGCTCAGTAATGCCCAGCCACCCACCCCCCCTTGGTCCTTTCGCCCCACTCCAGAGCATATTTTTTTACATATGCTGATGGGATGAAAATGCTGTATAAAAAGTATTAATAACAGTCTTTCTTCACACAATAAATGTGTAAAAGCAGGAAACATTGAGTAGCTGATCTGCAGTATCTTTGACAATGTAGGGAATCCTAGGGGCTCCCCACCCCAGCCTTACGTCATTTCCTCCAACATAACAAGCTCACACCTGCACTTGGCCTCTACTGTTGCCTCTGTCTTGACCATTGCTCCAAGATTGTGGGTGGTGGCTTTCCCTGACCACCTCATCTTGTACAAAGCAGTTCAGTGTCAAGCCTGCAGCCCTGATCACCTCCTCCTCTTTCCCTGCTGCCCACTTTGGTGGCAAAAGTCACTGTTTGAATCTCTTAGTCTCCTGGGAGATTTGAGAGTAACTTTGGAGCCACAAAAGCAAGCACCCTGCTGTGTCCTAGTGTCTGGCTAAATGGATGACTGAGGAATTGTGGTCGGATATAATGCTTCCCCAAATTGCAACTTTGTGTCCTGCATCAGCAGGCGGAACCATATTATTTATGCTGAATTTGAGAACAGGGAGGCAGTTTTACTCAGCAACTTTAGAGGGTCTTCTGACCTCAAAGGTTAGAACCTTTCAAAGGTTCTACAGATGTCCTTGTTCCCCATGTAAGGAAATAAAAGAGGAAAGGAACACATTAATGTCAGAGGTTAGATCGTGTATGTTTTAGTTCAAAATATGTCATGAAATCTAAAGGTAACTTGACTGGTTGAAATGACCCAGCCACATGGATTGAAAGAATGGGAAGCTGACCTCAATAGGTTGGCAGAGTCTGGCCTGTACAACCCTCCAGCTTCCCAATAGCTATCAAAAATGCAAATGCACAAATCTTGTGAGCCAGCAATACTGCTTCTAAGAATATCCCTCTGTGCAAAGATTTGCTTTGCAGCCTTGTTTGTAATAGTGAAAAGTTGGAAATTACCACCAAGATGGGAAAATGGTTAAGTAAAGGATGACATAGTCATACAATGAAATATTAAAGGAAATTTAAAAGAAAGAAAGATGCTGTCCTGTATATACTGCCAGGGAATGATGCCCAGCATACATGGTTGGGCTGGGAGTAGAGGGGGAAGAAGTTCTTGCTGTGTTTTTTTTTTTTTTAAAAAGAGGAAGGAAGGAAAGAAGAAAAGTGTGTGTAGTGGGTATATTGGGGGGGGGGGTGTCTCTGTAAACATGTATCTCAAACATCAGCTTGCTGTGCCAGGGTGTCTCTGGACATGCACAGCAACTAGGCATCCTTGGTGGCCTCTGGGAAGAGGGATGGGAATTAACTTTTCACTGTATACCTTTTGTACCTTTTAAATTTTGTACTGTGTACATGCATTATCTATTTGAAAAAATAAAAATTTTTAAATTTTGACTTGGCTTAGTTTTCTAAAAGTATAGAAACAAAACGGCTATCCTGTTCAGTAAATGTGCTTTCCTTGGGAATGTTGAATCAGAAGTACTTAAGCTCTCCTGTTCCTGGCTCTAGGGGGCTAGGGAAGTGAAAAAAAAAAAGCCTCTCCTCTTCCGGTGGAACAATACTGGGAGAGCAGCTGCAGAAACAAGGACTGGTCTCCTGGGTGCTGTGAGTGTTGGGGTGGCAGGGAGGGGGCGAGGCAACAAGTGGCCTGACGCCGTGAAGCCCCGAGAACAGACTGAGGCTGCTGCAGTTGCCTCCATCTCCTGAACGTCACAGCACAACCCCTGTTTGTCTAGCTTTGGGGGACAAAAAGTACAGCTGGTATCTCTGAGCCATGATCTGAGGGGAAGCATTAACCTCCAAGAACTGAGGTCGGTGAAGGTAGCTGGTTCTATGCCGCGCTGGCTGGGGTGGCAGTGTGCCCAAGCCCAGGAGAGGAATCATGAAGGTGGTTCTGAAGCAGTCATGGGAATCCGATTTCCATTCCCCAAAAATGGAATACAGATGGCTGTCTAAACCACCAATGGCCGGTGGCAAGGAGATGATCATCAGCAAGATGTGCATTGGGAAAGCTGCTGTTTTTGCAACTGTTGGAAAGTATAAGGTCAGGGGCTGGGGGGCACTTTAGCCATTTTGAGACCCTGAGAAGAGTTATCTTAACACACACAGCTGGGCGGAGTGGAATGATGGGGTGCCTGATGCCTGGACACATGATGAGCTGCTGAGCCAAACTGGGGACTGCTTGCCGCCATATTTCTTCTCCCATGAGAAAAATAAATCCTTGACTCATTCATTCCACCAAGAAATATTTGATTCTCTGTAATGGCACAGGGCTTGGGAATACAGCCGTGTCAGATAGATAGTAAAAACGTGCCTTCTTAGAGCTACCTGCCAGTGGGGAAAAGATGCAGACAAGGTAATTGTGTAAGCTGGATCACACGCTGCGTGAGTGTGCTGACTGCAAAGGAAGCCCAGTCCACAGTGTCTGGTGTGGTGGTGATGGCAATTTTATGATGACGAATGAGGAGGTGGGTCACATAGACACCTGTGTGAGAATTTCAGGCAGAGAGAGTTGGCAGGATAAAGGCCTTGAGGCAGCAGCAGGCCAAACAGGTGAGTTGGGGTGAGGAAGGGGACCTGTGTGGGAAATGACTGGAGGGTTTGAGAAGGTCATAAGAGGGATTCTGCTGGTAAAGTGCTCCCCCGACCTTACACTTTCCCAACTAACTACATACCACAGCAGGGCAGGTGCCAAACAAAGCAGGGAGCCGAGTTATAGGCTAACTAATAATCCAGATGAACATATACCCGACACAGGAAGCTCTCCTGTGACTTTGCAGGTGCCTCTCTTTTTCTTTCACCTGTCCTTTTAACATGTAAAAAGAAAAAATAGACCTGAAACATTCATTCTGTGAGACAATGCTACCTTTTCTATACTACTCATGTGCTGCCTTTCTTTTTTAAAATGCTGATTATCTAATTGCTGGTTTCTATTCTTCAGTCCCCCAAAGCAGACACCTGAGCCATGGTGACCTGGTAGGTGAAAGGCACTTCCCTCCCCCCACTCCCACCCCCCCACCACCTGTGACACTGGGCTTTTGTTCCGTCTGTGGGTTTGCTGGCTCGACCTGAGCAAAGCACAGAGAAAATGTGCTTGCATTGCAGCTCCCTGGTAGCACAAGGGGTTAAGATGCAGCACTGTGAAACTAGTTGCAGCCACTGCAGCATGAGTTCGATCCCCAGCCATGGGCTGTGACCCACATGGCACAGCAGACCCCTCCTGTCCTGCCCATTGCTCGCCTCAGCAGTGTGTTCCAATCAGTCTGCCTGTTCGGCTCCCCACTCTGTCTTGGTGAATCCTATTACTTACCCCCTATATCTCTGGCCTCTGCCCCAGCTCTTACATGCATAATAAATCAATCTTTTTTTAAAAAAAGAAGAAAATGTGCTTGCGTTGTTAGATGTGCCCTCCTGGGCTCCTCTCGTGAAGAACACAGAGGACGAGGGACACATGAAGCAGATGTGGAACCGACCAGCTGCAGCCAAGCCCAGAAGAGTCCAGCCCAGCCCAGATCAGGAAAATCCCAGCCAACTCCTCTGCAGGAAGAAAGACTTGTTGCTATGCACCACCCAGATTTTGTAGTAATTGTGTACAAGCATGAGAACATAGCAAAATCAAACACCATTTTGATTTCATGATAGCTGATGACATGGAGTTTCCAAGTCACTTCTCTTCACCAGCAGCACTAGTATGGACGGTCCAGAAGAGCAGATCTCTGGGAACAGTCTCCACACATGGAACAGAAGCCTACAGAGGACACAATGCAACAGAAGCCAGTTCCCCTCAGGCGTGCGTGAAGAAACATGGAGACTTAGTTAAAGGGGAAAGAAGTTATATACATCATACACAATAGAATTTATTAAATAAAACTAGTATGTTAGCCACATCCATCCTATAGTTCTGGAAATATGTGAAATTGGATTCTGACAAGAAGAGACCTTAGTGACATCTTAGTCAGCAAATAAATGCTGACAGGAATGAGATGAATTCTTCTCACAGCTTCCCAACTCTGTCTTAGTTGTGTTCTATAGACAAAGAGTTTGGAAACAAAACAGACATGATATTTATTTAAGAAAGCTCCTGGAATGTTCATTGTCCAGCAGATATTTTGTCAATAAATTTCTACTTCAGATACTCTGCAGGGAAGGAAATTGTAAGTGTACTAGTACATGAAGTCATTTGTCAGGGGGTCCCTTCAGGAATTTAGCATTTCATAATTACAAAGAATACTCAGAGGTAGGCCTCACTGATTGAAAGAAAGTTCAAGTCTGAAAGATCCAACAAATGAAGCCATCAAGTTTGCAAACAACTTCCTTTTAAGAAGGGCTCTAGGGCCCTCCCTGGTGGCACTGTGGGTTAGGATGCAGCACTGCAAGCTAACGGCAGCCACCTCAGTGCCGGTTCAATCCCCCCCCCACACACACACCAGCTGACCCACTTGGTGCAGCAGACCTCTCCTGTCTCGCCCGCTGCTCCCTCAGCAGTGTACTTTGTCAATCTGCCTATTCTGTTCCCCACTCTGTCTCTGGTGAATCCTCTCACCACCCTGCATCTCTGGCCTGTACCCCAGTTCTGTATGTGTAAATAGATCTTTTCAAAAAGGAGGGGGAGCTCTAAACATGACCCCTGCCTGGATGTTTCCACAGTGATGCTATTAAAATTAAAAGCCCAGGCCAAAGGAAAGAATTCCTTAACACCATAGCCCCATAGCCATACAGACTCTTCAAAGTTCCTGCCTAGAATCCCACTGAATAATGCAAGGCAATCCACCACATCAGGACCACCTGTGGAGGTACACATAGGTCTTGAGCTACAGAATGCAAGTGAATTTTGAAATGTGGGGTTCAGTCAGGTTTCTACTGGATTATCTTTCCTCATGGTAAACACACTCAGGGCAGGCTCACTGTCAGTTCAGGCAGACAAGATTAAAGAGATTCCCGGAGCCCTCAGTGAATTTTAGGCCTTTAATGCTCTCTCAGGGAACCAGGGACACAGACACACCAGGCAGGGGAGGCTGGCATGCAAGGAGGCAGGCAGAGGCCAGGCAGAGGACCTGGGGCAGGCAGGAAACCTAGTTCCCCACCCACTACAAGTCTTTGTGCTCTTTCTGGGCCTCTCTGGTGTTCTCAGCTTCATGTTGTCTTGTGGTCTCACCTCAGAGTGGTCCTCCTCACCTGGCCTCTCAGCACACATGTCCACATTTACTCATGCAGACATATGTGCTGTTTGGACTGAGGTGTCCACAATCACAGGTGTGCGTGCAAGGCTTCAGGTGTTAGCTATAGAGGCTAATGGCGGGAGGGTGTAAGTAAAGCCTGATTCATTTAGCTACATCATGCTTGAATGTGACTGTGTCCAGCTATGGATCAAGTCTTAAGCATTCACTGCATGGGCCCAGGTAAGCTCCCTACCCTTTTGGGATGTGTTTAAATGAGAACAGTACCTACCTGGCAAGATAGACATATGATGAAATGAATATTAGTGATAAAAGCTGCAACAACAGCTGTACTGACAGATGCTTGATAAATAATACTCTTAAAATGTATTCCTGATTCTGCAGTAACATTACCTAATAGCTTCAGTCAAGAGGAAAAGTTCCCCAGTAGCCCCAAGCTTGAGCGCCATCCTTTAAAATATAATAGTGAGGCCTTCCCTGGTGGTGCAACAGGTTAGAGTGCAGCACTATGAAGCTCACCACAGCCTCATCCACGTGACCATGAGTTCGATCCCCAGTTAGGGAGGTGGCCCACATGGCACAGCAGACCTCTCCTTGCCCACCCACTGCTCCCCTCAACAGTGTCCTTCATCCATCTGCCTGTTCTGCTCCCTGCTCTGTCTCTGGTGAATCCTCTCACCACCACTGCACATCTGGCCTGTACCCCAGTATTGTATGCATAAATAAATAAACCTTTAAAAATAAATAAAAAACATAATAATGACCGGCAGAGCATGCCATCTGACTGGTAACTACACATCTAGCTGCCCCACTTCGTCCAGGTTGTCAGTCATCTCCTTTATCACAGAAAACATGAGGGGTTTATAGGAAATAATGGAATTTGGTAGCAAAGTATAGATAGAACATAAAACAATAGGACAGGGAAAAACTAATTAAGAATTGGAATTATAGACTAGATAGACACATTAAAAACATAAGTAAGGGGGTGAATAGGTTCTCCATAGATTCCAACCTTCAGAAATTTGGCTGCTTTTCCTCCTGATCAAAATGAGCATGGAAACATGTCTTCATCATCTTAAAAAAAAAAACTTGTCCTCACAAAGAGTGACTTGAACTCTGAAATACATGAATAGGTTTCTTGAGACTACTTCTTGGAGCTTCTTCTAATGAAAGAACAATTTGCAAAACACAATTCCAAGAGAGCTGTTCCAGAGGACCAGAGGCGAAGCATCTCTGGAACATCCCACTCTCTACCAACAAAGGGAAGGTTGAACCGCTGACTCTTCCCAGACTCCCTTCAGAATCTCTCAGTGGGGCTGAGACCTAGACAACCTGGCACTGCAGGTGGTTGCAGGTAATGGGGTCCACAATCCCTTTTCCACTACTGCAAAAACACAAAAAGTTCAGAAAACAAAGATTGTTTCTAATTCACTAGACAACAAAGTACGACCTTACCCAAGTGGCTGGCACCAACGTGAAGTAATTTTTAGTCCTCTTCTCAAAGAGTAAATATCCATACACAGGGCTACAGAAATACCCATCCACTTGGTAAGTGGCAGCTGCCTCAGCCAGCTGAGGGCACTACAACATGTATGAACTTCATGTCTCTCTTCTAAAACTGAAAATGAACATTCTTTTTTAAAAAAAAAATTATTTTTGCATACAGAACTGGGATATAGGTCAGTGGGCAGCGAGAGGACTCACCAGGGAGAGAGTGGGGAGCAGGATAGGCAAGGCAGATCCACGAAGTATATTGCTGAGGGGAGAAGCAGGCAAGTCAGGAGAGGTCAGCTGTGCCATGTGAGTCACCTCCCTGTTGGGGATCGAACTTGTACTGAGGTGGCTGCAGCTAGCTTCATAGTGCTGTGCTTTGACCCATTGCGCCACCAGGGAGGGACCTGAAAAATGAACATTCTAAAAACTAAGAGCCATCTAACCCCAAAGGCTGGGAAGGGGCACTATGGATCCATACTCTGATTACTCTAGAGTGTGTAAGCTCAAGGACTGTCTGCATGCCCCAGATCAAGTGAGCCCTGGAGTGGCAGCTATTTGGCATAAACTAAAAAGCCTTATCAGTAGGCAGTCTGCCCCCTTCCAGATTCAGGCAGATGGGCCAAGGTGACATGAGAAGGTATCCCGTGCTCTCAGGCAGGATTCCCACACATGTAGGCTTATATTTTCGGGAAGGCCAAGGTCCACAATGGCAGGATTGGAGGGTTCTGTTGGTGCTTTTAGAGTTCCACAACAGGCATCTCAGTGACTTCTAAGTGCACGTGTGTATACATATGTTGTCTCTGTTCATATGTATAAATGTGTGTGTGTGGACAGATGGTATGTGTGAATACATGTGTGTGCATGAATGATTCTGAGCCTAGAAATGAATGCTGCCAGCATGTTTTTATTGCACATAGAAGTCAGTGCAGTGACGTCATGGGAGCACATCTCACTGCTGCTCTCCCTTGTGACACAGAACAAGGGCCTCACCAGGGGCTCGCAATACTAGCGGCTCACTGGAATCATCTGGGCAGCTTTCAAAGTCCTGCTGTCTGGATCACCTCCCCCAGCAGTGACAATGTAATTGAACTAAAGAGCATCCTATTCGTCCAGTAGTGTCTGTCACTGTCAAAAAAAGAATCATCTAGAACTCAATAAAACACAAATTACCAGACCTCTTTGCTGAATGTCTGATTGAGCAGACGAGGGTTACCCGAACATCATTTTTTCAAGGCAACATTTCAGATCATCCTCATCTGGCAAATTGGGATACACCGCCTGAGAGACTGGGGATCATAAGTTGAATTAGGTGGATGAGGGTTTAAGGGAATGAGATTTCATAAAGACTTGTGACCTGAGTAGGCCACAAGAGGTCCATTGGGGCCCTGTGCAGGAGACCCTCTCTAGGAATCTAGCACGAAGCTAAGGAGAGACAAATCAGTTTCCATTCATCTCTATTCTATCATAGAGTGCGGTCTACAAAGGATACTGGGCCAGTTCCTGCTCCACTGGGACACAGGCCATGCCAGACCAGTGATGTCAGTCCACGCACGGGACAAGGGTGGGCACACGCTCACCAAACATTTACTCCACCCAGAGAGCCTTTGCTCCTTCAGTGTGGGACCAAGTGTGTGTCCCTAACACTCAACTCTAGGGGGCAGGCTCCCAGATCACTCGGGAAGGGCAGAAGCAAGAGTGTCCTCCACACATCTCTTCATGTATCCTCACAAGCCCATGTTTATCTCTGCTTGGTGAAGAGGCTCCTGAAAGCATTGTTGTAGTTCTTGTTAAATGCTGTGTAAATCAGGGGGTTGAAGAAAGAATTAGAGTAGCCCAGCCATAGGAATATGCTTTTCCAGGTGGGGGGCAAGCTGCAAGCACACAGGGGGCTGATGAGCTCTGCCAGGAAGAAAGGAATCCAGCACAGGACAAACACGCCGATGAGGATGCCCACCATCACAGCTGCCCGCTTCTCCTTCTGCTCCCTCCAGGAGTCCCCGCCGGTCTGGAAGGCCATTGCTGGCCGACGCACTGTGAACACCATCTCGGCCTCCTGACGTGCCTCTTTTACCTAGGAACAAAGAAATGTGGAATTAAAAGGTAGGTCACAGGACTCCCTGGTGTCCTGGGATATAAGACTCAGGCTCTCACCACTGATAACCTGAGTTCGATCCCCAGCCAGGGGACCTCTGCTGTCTACTGCTCTGCTTCCCTCAGCAGTGTATTTCAGTCAGTCCGCCTGTTCTGCTTCCTATTCTGTCCCTAGTGAATCTTCTCACACACACATACACCACACCCCAGTCCTATGCATAAATAAATAATCTTTAAAAAAAAATAAAGGCAGTGACTTGGTGATGGGAAACCCGCGGGGATTACAATTGAGATGGCAAAAAAAAAAAAAAAATGTACAAAATGATGTCAAAAAAAAAAAACAACTTACCAAAAAATAAATAAATAAATAAATAAAGGCAAGCTATAACAAAGGGTGGTAATGTAACTTAAGGCACTTCCGCCTCTCCTACACCTCCCTTAAACTTCATTTGAGATGTGTTAATACCAGAGTCCATTAGAAACAGAGGTGAGAATTCCTAGACTGTGAGTTAAAGTAAAGTTTGAAAGTGGCCCTCCCTGGTGGTGCAGTGTGTAGAAGCACAGCACTAAGAAGCTAAAGCCACTTCAGCATGAGTTCAATTGCTGCCCAAGAGGTGATCCCCATGGAGCAGCAGACCTCTCCTGACCCACCTGCTGCTCCCCTCAGCAGTGTACTTTGTCAGTCAGCCTATTCTGCTCCCGATTCTGTCTCTGGGGAAGCCTCTTACTGTCCCTGCACCTCTGGCCTCTATCCCAGTTCTGTATGCACAAATAAATAAATCTTTAAATAAATAAAGTTTGAAAGTTCTCCAGGGAGTGGGAGTGGTGGCCTCCATAATGTTAAAAATGACACAAAAGGGCAACAGAAGATATTTATTTGTATCATAGGAATATTATGCTAAATATGATTGAAAAGGAGGGACACAGCTAAGAGCCGGAACCTTTGTGTCAGACTCAGGCATTAGTCTCAGCCCTGAGGGCCAAGCTCATTTCTGTCCAGGAAGCTGGTGACTGAGGCCCCCTTCCTGATCACAAGTGTGGCATGCTGTGTGTAGAGGGACTAGAGAGCCACCCAGTCCCAGCTGCAAATATTCTGCCCCATTTTCCCCACAAGTACTGTGATATTAGGGCATGGATTCTGAATCATCGCTCAAACACTGTGTTGTGATGGGCACTGCAGGAAGACAGGGACCACTAGTGTCCTGGCTACTGAACAAACAATCCCTAGCACCTAGCATAATATATGGCATATAAGAAAGACTCGATATTTATTTATTGAATAAGTGTTTGGCAGAGACAATTTTTTTCCATTTCTGCATATTTTGCCAGCAAAGACTCTCGGAGCCTTGTTTTAAACTAGTTTGTCGAGGATGTTTGTAAAATAAACAGCCTTGGAAGATAAAGATAGTGACTCCCAATGGAAAGAGAGCATGCTTGCCTGCAACCTACCATGAAAATGAGGTCTCCTAAGAGCAGTGGGTTGATTTATTATTCTACATTGGACAAAACAGATTTGAGTTCCCTACTCTGAGAGTTTCTTTGCCATGAGGCAGCCCACCTGGGCCCTTCTGTGTCACCCCAATGGGATTCTGAGGGTCAGGAGAAGTGGTGCAAAATGTGGAGCTCTTGCTTCCTGGGGGCCAAGGAGCAAAAACATTTCTGACTCTCATCCAGGAGTCTTGGGTCTTCTGCTGCATCCAGTGAACCATGGAGACTGACTTCTTAACTCACAAGCAAGTAGCACCTCAGCTCTGCACAGTTCCTGACGTATGTCTGCTACTTAGCTAGGCAGCTCTGCGCACTGTCTTACCTTTTTTCAAAAAGATTTATTTTTATTTATGCATAAATAACTGGGGTACAGGCCAGAGGTGTGGGGGTGAGAGGATTCACCAGAGACAGAGTAGCAAATGGAACAGGCCGACTGACTGAAATTCACTGCTGAGGGGAGCCGTGGGTCAGACTGGAGAGGTTTGCTGTGCCACTGGGATCTAACTCCTACTGCAGTGACTGCCTATAGCTTCACAGTGCTATGCTTTAACCCACTATGCCACTAGGGAGAGCAACCGAGGAGGGAGGAAAAAGGAAATTAAGGCTCTGAGCAGGTCAGAACAAGTTCATGAATAGAGAAGGTTCTAATCTGAACGCCATGTCTACATCTCACTACAAAGAAGCTTGTCTCACTGGTTTACTGGGAGGATGACAGTGAGACAGTAACACATAGTAGGACCTGATAAATATCAGTTTCATGTTCCCCATTCTTTCCTCTCCCCTGGGAAAAAATAAACTCCAGCTGCCACAGAGAAAACCCACAAGTTGCTGTAGTCCTGTCATGTCGTCAGGTAATCATCCTGAGATGAGAGCAAAAAGAGAGTTTCCTAGTCACAGGGAGCCCACCGTTTGCACTGTGACCATGGCTGGGCACCACACAGGCTTGCTCTTTACACAGCTGGTGTGAGGGCCTCCAGAACTCTCCACGTGGCTATCCAGGCCCACAGCACCCGAGGCAAGGGAGAGACACTGAGACATTTCCAGTGTTGTATAACTGGAATTCCCCATTCTAACCAGAGCTTGGCAGGTGTGACTGGAATGTCTGGACTCCATACTGCCCAAGGTTTACTGAGATACGCCCGCTTCAAGGCACATTTCTCCAAGACCATTAAAGGGGGACCCAAATAAGGATGGGGTTGGCCGGGATAGTAATTTTACAAAGCAAAAATCACAATCAACAGGCAACTATAAACCAGGGACATTCTTTGGGGGAAAGGGAGGAAAAAAATGGATCAAAATGGGTGGGAAAAGCACAAGGGACCAAAAAAAAAAAAGCGGTAACTAAAATAGCCTTCAGAGGAAACAGAAGTTGTCTAACTTGTCTGACAAATTAGCTGCTTCTCTTATAAAAACTTCCCCCATCCCAACCCAGAAAAATAAATTAAGGAAGTAATCTTGTGAAAAATAAGAGCAGGGCCCTCCCTGGTGGCACAACAGGTTAAAGCACAGCACCATGAAGCTGTCCAGAGCCACGGCAGCTGGAGTTCAATCCCCAGCCTGGGAGCTGACCCACATGGCATCGCAGACCTCTCCTGTCTCATCCGCTGCTCCCCTCAGCAGTGTATTTTAGTCAATCTGTCTCACTCCCCACTCTGTCTCTGGTGATTTGTCTCACCCCCACACCTCAGTTCTTATATGCATAAATTAATAAATCTTTTAAAAAAGAAAAAGAAGAGCATAAAAACAGGCTTGAAGAAAATTAACATTTCCCTCAATGTGATAATATACATAACAGAAAGTAGTATGGTAAGCTCTTGGGTGTGATCATCACGTAAGATACAACTGCTATAATCTGATATTTAGAAAACATAGATTACTGTTTGGAGTTTAATCACCTTTCAATGGCTAAGAACCCACTGGAATTAATGCTAAGGAGGGAAAAATATAGAAAGTCCATTAATTAAAGGTGTTTTCAATGGTAATATCTTCCAATCTAGAAAGCTACTCTGCTGTATGAGTCGATACAGCCAATGGAGGGTCCACTGTGGAAGTAAGAGTTCTCACCCTCAGGTCCCTAGACTCCCAGAGCAGGAGTTATTGGCACAGGGGGAGGATGCAATGGAACGGTGAGGGGAGGAGGTTGCTTTTTGGATGTGTACCAGTCAACCAACCTCAAAGTTCTAATAACCCACCAGGCGGCCCGTGTCTCCCCTGTTGACAAGCGCCTGACCTCAGAGAATCTATGTTACCACCAAAATGTGGCCCCATCCCTCTGGAGAGCCAGCAGGGCAAAAATATTGAACACCTCTCACCAGTGTTGAGTTTGGGGAGTGTCGTATGCCAGCTGAGTGAGCAAATCCAAAGCCTTTTTCAAATACCAAGGAATTCTGTGACCTACTTTTTATTACAGCCCAGACTGGCCACTTACTGCCTGAAAGCCAAAACTCTAGATACAAGAGTTGGGAGGAAATAGGTTTAATCAGGAGCTGGCAAGCTGAGGAAATGTGGGCAACTGTTTCAAAGGCCTTTTCCCAGAATTGGGGAGGAGCAGGGACTGGTGGCGGGAAGGGAGCAGTGAAAGTTAGGTAGGGCTTTCCAGGGACTGCACTGTCGCCCCTTTTCCCTCTGAGTTTGGTTTTGAAGGGGTCTATCAGGGAGCTGGTGGAGTGCATTTTACTATGGACTTGAGGTGGAGGGTGAAGCCTTGTTTTACTCTGCACTCCAGCTTGGTTTCAGCCAGTCTTATTTGGATTTATGGCCTTGTCTGCAAAATGATAAACAGAAGCAGAGGAAGGACCACAAGGCAAAGACAAGGAATTGATAGTTTCTAAACTGGTGACACCACCAAAAATTTAAGAAGCATGGAGTGGAGCAGCAGACCTCTCCTGACCCGCCCACTGCTCCCCTCAGCAGTGTACTTCGTTAATCTGCCTGTTCTGTTCCCCACTCTGTCTCTGGTGAAGCCTCTCACCACCCATGAGCCTCTAGCCTGTACCCCAGTTCTGTATGCATAAATAAATAAATCTTTAAAAAAAAATAAAAAATAAAAAGAAGCTTAATGCAGGATCACTGGTGAAAATCCACCATCCTCACCCTACTAGTCTATATCTTCTTTGCTTCTCCCTCTTCCCACTCTGCTCTTTTCTGTTCACCTAGTTGGAGAGAAATGAGAAATGGGAGTAGAAGAGTCAGGATGAGTATAATGATGTCAAGTGAACAGGAAAAGTTTAAAGCGAGGAGGTGGCCAAAATATTGCTGAAGGCAAAGACAAAATGCTCCTTCTGGGAGTCAAATACTTCTGGAAACTATCTGGGAAATCTCACTGAGATCAGGCACCAATCTTAAAAGAACCAGACCATAAGTCAGATGTTTTATTAGCACTGACACAGTTTGATTCAGGCAATTAAATGTTCAAGAGTTAAGTAAACTTATGGACTGGCATGGAGTGTGTCTGAGCCCACGGTTCTTTTAATAGACAGGATCATATTTTCC